ATTTATTCATTTGAGACAGAGAGATAGAGAGCATGAGCAGGGGGAGTTGCAGAGGGAGAGGGAGAAGCCGGCTCTCCGCTGAGCAGGGAGCCCAATGCGGGACTCGATCCCAAGAGCCTGGGATCATGACCTGAGCCGAAGGCAGAGGTTTAACCATCTGAGCCACCCAGGCGCCACCCCCCCCTTATGATTTTCTTAACAACGTTTTCTTTCCTTTGTTTTAAGTAAATACTTTATTATATAGTATATAATATAACATACATCATATATGTGAATTGACTACTCATGTTATTGATATTCTGGTCAACAGTAGGCTATTAGTAAAGTTTTGGGTGACTCAAAACTTATATGTGGGTTTTGTCTGCACAGGCCCCTAAGCCCCGCATTGTTCAAGTGTCTAACTGTGTGTCAGATCTGTACCAGAATGTCTTAGGTGCCCTGTATTGTTTGGAAATCTACGTTTGCCTTTAACAACCTGTCAGAGATGTCCACGTTAAATAGCTGTATGCTTTTATAGCATATTTAATGTCAGGAGGTATATCCTAAATGGCATCAAACATACCATAAAGTCCTTGCCTACCAAGTTTGTTTGCTATCTTAGGGCCGCCTGGGTGGCTCAGTCGTTAAGCGTCTGCCTTCGGCTCAGGTCATGGTCCCAGGGTCCTGGGATCGAGCCCCACGTCGGGCTCCCTGCTCCGCGGGAAGCCTGCTTCTCCCTCTCCCACTCCCCCTGCTTGTGTTCCCTCTCTCGCTGTGTCTCTTTCTGTCAGATAAATAAATAAAATCTTTAAAAAAAAATTTCTATCTTAGGCTTTTCTGCCACCTGCCTGCATTTTGCAGACCAGATTTTTTTTTCTACTTTTTTGAACTTCTAGAAAAAATTTTAATGACACACTTCCGACAGTTGAAAGGGTACAAAGGATAGTACACTGATATGATGGTATGATATCTTCACTCCCCTCCAGCCTCATAAGTAAAACATCATAAAGACAGTTTAGCCCCTTTGTATCCCTCCCACCCCGCCCCACTCCATTCCTCTCCCAGCCTCCCCGCCACCACGAGGTGATGGTTACCCTGAATCACGTGTAGTTTTCAGCATCTTGGTGCCCACAGTGCCTGTGTACCAGGATCCGTGTTTCCAGAAGTTTCTTCTCAGGACCGCATCCCTGTCCCACTCAAAGTCCTGAGCCTCCACCAATGAGAAGAGCATTCCTGTGGATGAGTAGTCCTTTGGATTTTCTCGTTCCCTGTTTGTCTGTTGCCCCATGGCGCTCAGGCAGACCAGTGGGGAAGTGCAGCTCTGTTCCTATTCAGCCATGTCCTGCCCATCTCGGGCGTGAGCAGGTCCTTGATGAGACGGGAAAGCGCGGGTGGTAACAGATAAAGAGCTGGTGATGGGTCAGCAGGGGAAAGTTGGGGAGCCCAGCAGAGAGCTACAGGAGGGGTGGGGTGAGGGGTAAGAGGAGAGGGGAGCACTCCTTGCCTCCCCAGAGAGGCATCCCGGGACCTCTTTGAGACAAATTGAAAAATTTCCCATAACTGAACTGCGGTACTGAATCTTTTCTCCGCTGCTGGAAAGACACCCACCGCACATACCCTCTTGCTCCAGTGCTTCTGTTCTACCCGGCACCCCCTGGACAGGCCACCTCTGGCCACTGCTTGGACTGTCTCCCTTCCCAGGTGCCTCTGTGCTGCTGCATCCGCCAGGATCCTCCTGGGCCTTCCTGGGTCCCCAGCCGCAGCTGTCCTGCCTCCCCCAGCTCCTGTTGTCCTGGCAGCCATGCCTTTCACTAGGTGCTCAGCCTCCTTGCTGTGTCGGGGTCCCTGGGGGCCCGCCCCACCCGCTGTTTGAGACCCAGGCCCCCATTGCTTGCTTGCACTTCCCACAGTGCTCGGTGGGGTGTAGATTTTCAGGAAGAGTTGTTCATTGATTTGTCTTTGCAGTTTCCGTAACTAGAATCTTTGTCCCCTGTGAGTCATTTTCTTAGCAAAAGATGAAACTCCAGCTCCCTTGCGTCGTCCGCATTTCAAGTTCTTGTTGTTTCTTCAGTGGCTCTTCCTATCCCAGAATTTCTTCTTTGTGGGAAAGGTTCTGACACCCAGTTTTCATCTCTTCTACCCTGGGAACCCCTCCCTTAGCGTGTTATACTCCATCAGCCCTACCCTGGGGAGGCCAGGGATGCTCCGTCAGCCCTGAAACCCCCACCTTACCCACCCTAGTAGACCACACTGTCGCTCGGCCCCGGGCCCCTTTGGAACTTGGGAGTGGTCCCCGGTTCTGTTGTTCATCAGCTTCCCTGATGGTGGTAGCTCGTGGCTGCCCACTGATGAGAGCAGCCTGGTGTCACCTCGACCTTGGATGGGGAGTGTGGAGCAGTCCCACCCCAGAGCTGTGACTCGACCCAGTATTAGGCCCAATTCTTGCTGGGGAGCTGGGCCACACTGCTGGAACCTCCCCCCCGCCCCCACCAGGGCTGGCACCCTTGGCTCCCTTCTTTTTTGTTCTGCTTGCTTTCACTGCTCCTTTCACCCCATGCTGGAAACCGATAGACCTTTTCCGGGCTAGGGGCTCTGGTGCCGAACAAGGTAGATCCAGTCATGGAGCTCCTGGTCTAGAGTAGTGGTTCTCAGCCCTGCTGAGAGCTTTTAAAAAAATGCGAGTGCCTGGGCCGCACGGCTGACAGTTCTTGTATGGTAGCTCTGCAGCAGAGTCTGGGCGCCCGTAGCTTATTAAAGCTGCGTGTTGTCTCCCACGCACAGCCCAGGATACAGGCTACCTGTGTCAGTCCATTCGGGACCACCAGAGACTGGCTGGCTTCTGACCAACAGAAATTTATCTCCCGCAGCTCTGGGGGCTGGGAAGCCCGAGATCAAGGTCCGGGCAGCTTCCGCGTCTAGGGTGGGCTCACTTCCTGGTTCGTAGGCAGCCACCTCTTGTGTCCTCACGTGGCAGGCGGGGGGAGGGAGCTCTGAGGATTGGTTATAAGGTGCTCGCCCCATGACCTAATCGCCTCCCAGAGGCCCCACCTCCTAATACCACACCCTGGGGGATTCAGCCTGTGAATTTGGGGGAGACGCAGACATTCAGTCCACTGCGCTGCTGTGTGCTGAGCCCTGTCTGTGTGGCAACCGTCATCTGACCCCTTCCGGCCGGCCGTCTGCACCTGCGTCGGGTTGGAGCCTCGCAGGCGCTGCCATTTACCGGCTGCTCTAGACGGAGACCCAGTCGTGGTCTTCTCCCTCCTCACGCCCTCTCCCCCACCACAGGACTAATTTGGTTCCCTGCCCCTTCTGTTTGGGTCTGAATTTCCTCCCCACTTCTCCTCCACCCCTGTGTTCACTTACTGGGCCATCAGCAGCAACCTCCTGACTGGTCTGTGGAATTTTCTGCTCTCCCTCTTCTTTCCTGACCCACACAGCACAGGCAACTGAGTTCTCATCCTCAGGATGTCCCCTGATGGCTCTGGGTGGCCCATGAAGAAGAATCCTGCCCCAGCCTTTTAGGCCTGGCACTCGCTCTCCTCAAGCCGCCCCCGCCCCACTGGTCCAGCCTCTCTGCTGCCCCGCGTACCCAGGGCCCCGCCATGCTGATTTTCTCACTGTCCCCCGGATGTGCTGTGCTCACGCTCACCTTTTTGTCTTTCCCTATGCCCCTCCGCCGGCCACAGCCCCTGTTCTCCCGCAGGCCCACCTGGCAAACCTCTGCGTGTGCCTCAGGACCGTCCTTAAACCTCACCTCTTGAGGGGCACCTGCGTGGCTCAGTCAGTGAAGCATCCGACTCTTGATCTCAGCTCAGGTCTTGATCTCAGGGTCGTGAGTTCAAGCCCCGCATCAGGCTCCATGCCCAGTGCATAAACAAAACCAAAAAAAGCCCTCACCTCTTGAAACTTCTATGGTTACCTTGGCTAGTTGGCAGCTGCGCCTCTGTGCTTCTGCAGCACAGTGACTTCTAGAATTGTTGTTACTCTCCAAAAGATTCAGAGCCTGCTGGGACAGACACCTTGTTTGATTCCTGAATCCATAGCAGTGAGCACCAAGTAGGCACCTGGTGAAGATCGGTTACTGGGACCTGGCTGAGGCCTGGACACGGCCTGTTTTCCTTCTGCCTGGATGGGCGCCAGCCCCAGTAGACTCTGGTGGCATTTTGGGTCTGCCACCCAGAGGTGTTGACAGAACAAAACGCAAAGTATTCACGAGCATATGAAAAGGATGGGATAGCAAATTGGAGGGCAGTTCTGGTCGAAAAGCAAGTCAGAAATCTGAGGGCAGTGCTCACAGTTCCTTTTGGATTCATAATAACCAAATATAGATTACCGATGCTTCACAACAATAGGATTGGTAAAAAATAAAACCCGATTCTAGTTTAAACAGTTCAGAGCTGCAGACTTAGGCCTGGAAAACTGAACTGTCGGGTGCGATGCCCGCCAATGAAAATTCGAAAAGGCCAAAGCTGTTACTGGCAAATTTTAATGCAGACTAAAAAGTAATCGGTGAGTCAAATCCTCACTGTAATATTTACATAGGAAAGAATGGATTCAATGAAAACTATTTCACTAAGATGAAGATGGAAAATTATCAGGAACATGGGGCGCCTGGGTGGCTCAGTCGGTTGGGCGTCTGCCTTCGGCTTGGGCCTGGGGTCCTGGGATCGAGCCCCGCATCGGGCTCCCTTCTCAGTGGGAAGCCTGCTTCTCCCTCCGCCCCTCTCTCTGTTCATGCTCGCTCGCTCTCTTTCTCCTCAAATAAATAAATAATTATAAAAAATCATCAGGAACAGTGTAACTGTTCACTGTAGAAAAATCATTTACTTTTCCTCCGGAAAATGCTTTGTCCATAAGTGTCCGTTGGTATTGGCATAATTCTGAACACACATGTTGTTGGGGTAAAAATGTCCTGTCCGTGTGTGTAGTTGCTGCTCCCAAGTGACCATCTGCACCATGGAGCATCAGAACTGCTGGAACCCTTAGCCCAGCCCTGATGCCTTTTCTCTTTCTGACAGGGGGCGGTGCCCAAAGGAAATGCCACTAAAGAATTCATCGAGAGTTTACAGCTGAAGCCCGGACAGGTGGTATACAAGTGTCCCAAATGCTGCAGCATCAAGCCCGACCGAGCCCACCACTGCAGGTACACGTGTCCCCCCCCTTTCACCCCCCCCCCCCGGCCCGCTTCCTCCCCTCCCCCACCTCTCACATGCTCTGGAGCAGCAACCCCCACACCTGCTTCCCGCACAAGTGCCATCAGCAACAGGACTTCTGAACGTCCCCTACTCTGGGCACGTGACCACTGTGACTGAGTCCCGATCTCCATGAGCTCACTAGATTAGAAAGGGCGTTTGGTTTGGGCTCAGGACACCTGTCCTAAGACTTGACAGAGGACCCTGCCAGGCCTTTGACTGTCTCCACCTCTGTCTCTGTATCTGTAAAATCGAGGGGTTCCTGCTCTTCCTACCTCACAGCTTTATTTATTAAGGGCACAGGAGACAGAGGTTTGGAAAATCATTCTGAGTGTCCAGTACTTGACCCATTTAAGAGGTGGGCCCCACTCACTTGACTTTCAGAGGGAAACGAAGGGTCTGTGCCTGAATGGAGATGTTTCTTTAAAACAAAACTTCTAGAGGTTGTGACAATTGTAGGATTCGGCCAAAAAAGCCATTTCCCCATCTCATGTGTGGTGATTTTTCCCTTTGGTTTTCAGATGTCTTCGTTGTTTTGAGTCTTCTCAATGAGAAGGCATCTAGCTAAAAACTGCATTTTATCACTACAAGGGGACTTTAAATGCTAAATTACACTTGGTGTCACTTGGTCCTTTTCTCAGACTGGGGGCGGGGGGCAGGAGGGGCACACCGCTAGTGAGAGCCACAGACAGGCGTGGGGCCCAGTGTTTGCAGCTCCAGTCCAGGGCTCTTTCCACTAGAACTCCGGTTTGGGGGTGACGTGTGTGGCCTGATGGAATTGTATGTATGTCTTTCTGTCAGAGAGCGATGGCGACCTCCCCAACTAGTTGGCCCCTCTTGAGGGTGACGGCTGAGGAGTTTGGACAGGGCCTGTGCTAATTGTTGTCTCCCATGGGGTTTCCGGCAGCTTGGAGAAGCTGAGCCCAGCGTGGGGCCAGTTTACCTCTGAGACCTGTGTTACAAACAAATTCAGGGCTTGCTACTTGTGCCTGGGGTGGAGGCGCCTGTCTGGCCTTTTCTGCTACCCGAGGCATGGGAAGCCAGCCGTTTTCATCGCCTGAGTGAAGGGCCCCCATCTGCTTACGTGGTTCCCCAGGCCCCAACTCCGGGCGGCCCAGTGTGCTGAGCAAGCTCCCGCCTCAGTGTTGGAGAGGTCAGCGCTGGAAGCCCAGCAGTGCCCCCACCACGCTGTGGGGCCACGGACCAGGCAGCACACCTCTCCATGCTCAGCTCTGTCCTCTGCAAAGGGGGTTGTTGCCCGGCAGCTTGTCGTGAGGGTGAGACATGAATAACTGTGGGAGTCCGCTGGCTCCCCCAGCAGAAGCCACTGGTTAGCAGAGGCGTGTGCAAGCGGCCGGGTGTGCTGGGCTTCCAGGCTGGACCAGCAACAGGGAGGCTCGTGCTTTGTAGGAAAGAACTTTCGGGTGACCACAGTGGTTCTTTCTCTTCCCTCCCTGAGCCCTCGGCGGCCTCCACTGCCTGGCATTTTGCTCACCGCCTCCTCCTAGCCTCAGTCCCCAGGATGATCCGAGGGAGGTATTCTTGAGTGCTAGTAAACAAATCAGCTTGAGCAAAACAAGAGCTGCTGATTCAGACGAAGTCGAGTGAGGATGCCCGTGTGTCGCCTACTCCCGCATCAGGAGGCGTGTGCGGATGACCACTTCTCTGTGAGGGCTCGCGGCGGCCCAGGCCATCTGGGGACCCGCAGTTCGGGATAAGCACCATCCCCAGCACACCAAACAGAGCTGGGTTTATGACTGCTTAAGCCGAGAGGCCTGCCGCCTGGCTCGAGAGAGTCGGGGTCAGTATCCCTGCTCGAGTGAAGGCGCGTGTCTGTGTGCATGAGTGCACACCTGGCTTTTTGCATCCTGCCCTCCTAACAGAGCCCCGTGGAATTTAAATCCATCCCCATTCCCGGAGCTCTGATGGGTACTGCAGATGCTCCCTGACCCTGGATGTGTAGATGTTCCTTCCAGCCCGGTGGTGTGTGGGTGGGTCTTCTTTCCACCGAGAGGCATTCTGGAACACCGGGCTGCTTTCATCCTGGAGGACCATGGAGGCCTGTGGAAACCCTGGAGAGGGAGCCGTTCATGCTAACGTGGACAGCCATGGTGTTGGGCTTAAGAGTTAGGTTCCTCCTGCACAAGGAGGTGGAGACCTGTGCCCCTGGCAAAGCCTCACACCCCTCCCCAGAGACCCCACCCCCACAAACACATACACGCTGAGGCTGAGACAGTCACAGACAGCTTAGGGTCCCTGCCAGATTCTTATGTTGTCTCTCTCATGGTTGTGACCACTGGTAAAATTTACGTAGCGCTAGTATTGTTTTTAAAGCATTTTACCTACGTCATCTCTAACCTTGGGAGATGGGGACTAATTCTGCAGAGGGCGGTTCGGAGAAGCTAAGTTGCTTTGCCCAGGGCCCCACGTGGGGATTGAGAGCAGTGTTCTCTCTGCCACCGCACCGGGCTTTCTCACCCAACATTGTTGCAGAGCTGGGACCACGATGTGGTAGATGCTTTTTTGCAGGAGGTGTGGGGTGAAAACCTGGAGGTGGAGCAGGGTCCACCTGGTGTCCTCTAGCTTTGTTCTTTGCTCGTGCCCTGCCGGGTGTCCCAGTCTGATGCAGTGGAGCCGCTTCCCAGGCCTGCTCTTTCCCCATCTGTAGCTTCAGGGACTGCACTTGGCTCCCCCCTTGCTAAGGAGGTCCTGGACCTGGCCCTGGGCCGTAGCGGTGGATTAGATGTGGCCCTGACCCTTGGGCCTCCCACTCAGGCAGGGCAGGTGCACTTTTCCACCCCGAGACAGTTTGGTAAGTGCCTCTGTAGGGGGAGACGCAAGCCCTCGGGGACACAGCTATGTTTCCACAATGGGCCATCACCCAGGCTTGGGCAGGGCCTCAGCCAGCAACTTTGGGGGCCTGAGAACCAAGAGCCTGAGCGCACGTGAGCCGATAAGCTTGTCGGGCTCTACCAAGCTTTTGAAGGAAGTGCTTCGGGGCCTGGAAAATAGCAGGGAACCTGGAGGAAGAGGGAAGGAGGGGCGTCGCCTTCTTCTAGAACATTGATTTAAAACCACAGAAGGGGCTCGGGAAACCCTGGAGGCAGGGACATCAAAAGATGCCTCCGTGGAAGATGTTCGGTCTTTGCAGCGACTGTTCCTGCAGCTTGGGATACGCTGCCAGCCCGCGGTGCCTGAGCCCCAGGAGCGCACCTGCCCACAGCGTCTCGCATGAGGGGCAGCGAGGGGTGCCCAAGAGGGGGCCCAGGAGAGGGCTGGCGCTCACAGGAAGGAAAGAGCAGTAAGGAGCCCCAGAGAGGAGAGAGGGAAAGGGCCTGTGTCTGGGGAGGGGACCCCTTGGAGCCCCGCTGCCCACCCAGCCTCGGGGAGTGGGAAGAAGGCTGGCTCTGTGGTGACTGATTCCCCACTGGGGTATCCGGGGTTGTGGGAGGCCCACATTTCTTCTTCCTCAGGATGGATAGGGCCCGAGGCGGAGCAGCTGGGCGGGACACTGGCAGACCTTGCCCTTGGTGTTCTCCAAGCCCCAAATGTAGAAACGTTTGGGCAGGTGGTTTTGTGAGCCGTGGGTGAGGCAGTGCCTGATCAGGGCCTCTTGCGACATTCATGGATGGACTCCCCACCCACACGCACCACTGCCCGGCCCCAGAGCCAGCTTCTGAACAATCCTGCATGCCTTTGCAGACAGGAAGCTCAGAGCCGGGCACTCTGGGCCAACTTCTGCTGCTCTCAGCGGCTCTGCTTGCTTGTCCCTGCTCCCTGGAGGAGGAGGAGGAGTGTTCTGATGTGGCCGCCCAGTGACACGTAGCCCATCGTGAAACCCACTTCCTGGGGTGCACGCCGGGGCTCTTTAGAGGCTGGGAGGAGAGCAAAGGACGGATTTGCTTGAGAGCTCGTTGAAACTCAGGTGGCTTTCGGAGGATGTCAGGCCGCTTGGCAGCTCTCTGCTGAGCAAACGCCGCCTCAGAGCACCCGCTAGGAACCCCTTGCAGAAGGAGGCACGGGTGGAGGAGAAAGGGCTCAGGAGCCTGAGGCAGGGAGGGGCTTCACCTTGGGAGCTTGGCCCTCAGACCGGGAGGGAGCTAAGACCCCAGAGCTGAGGAAGGACGTGCCAGGTGACTCTGCAGAGGGAATATGGGGCCTGGTGGCTGAGGCCCAGGATGCAGGGAGTGGCTCAGTCCTCACTCTCTACTTGTCTGGACTCTTAAGATTATATCCTGGGAACGAGTGTCACTAATTGAAATCTATACTATACATATTCATATGCACTTTTTTAATTAGTAGCACATGCACACAGAGAGAGACGGGTACCTGACTTTCTGTCTGTCTGTGTCCCTTTCATGCCTCTTTCTTCCCCTGACCTCCTGGCCCTCAGGGAGATGCTAGAGCTGGGCCAGCCTCTCTGAGATGTGCCCATTCCCCCCCTGTTAGTGAGGACCTTCGAAGTTGTGGAGCAGAACCAGGGTGGAGACTGGCCAGGCCCCCACAAGCGGCCCTCACCTTGTCCTTAAAACACTTTCTGTGGACGGGGAACCCGAGGCTCCAAGTCTGGCCAGTCTCACCAAGGTAGCTCAGCAGGCCCAGGCCTACCTTACCACTAAAGCTCACGCCCTGCTCAGAAAAGGCCGCACGTCCTCCTTGGGGTGTGGATGAGCCCGCAGCTCCGAGTTGGCCGTGGCCTAGCCGCGGGGCTCTCCTTCAGAGTGGTCTGTGCTTCCTGGCCTGGAGTCTGGGGAGCAGCTCACGTCCACTCCCAGGAGAGCTCTTCCCATGCTTTCCCTGCCCGGACAGGTGGCCAGCCGGAGCTTGGCAGGTGTGAGCTCCCCACGCCGGAATGTGACACAGCCCTTCTGCCAGGGTCCACCTGCCACAGCCCAGAACCTGAGATAAAGTTAGCTGTGGAAACTAGTGGAAGGAAAAGCTGGTGTGAGCTAAGGGGCTTTCAAAACAGAAAACACTTTAATTGTATTATTATTCCAGGGCTTATATTTACAGTGTTTGAAACTGTATTTGAACAAATGACACCCCCAAGATCATGTCAAGGAGCCTATGTTAACAAATTGAGACAGGACCCATATCTGGTGAGGCTGTTGGCAAAGGGATGTGTCTAAACCCGAGTTTGGGGAGTAGGTGCTTTCAAGACCCCAGGAACCTGTACTCCCGTTTCAGATTATTTCTTCCAAAAAGGGATGTTTGCTGTCAGATAAGCTTGAAACAGTCCCAGTCCCAAAAGGAGCTCCATTACAGGTTGGCAATTTGCAGATTATTGGGATTTCTGATCAACACTTAAGCTCAAATGCATTCTGCTTTTACAGCTAAGTGGTGGTTACCTTCCAGCTGAAAGGTTCTTGAGGGGCACTTCCTGCCGCCGAGACATCCTGCCCTTGAGCCCACTCTGCCTCTCCCAGCATCCTCTGCAGTCAGCCACGCCCTCCCGGCTGGCCCCTGGCCCTCGGGTTTGGGGTGTTTGGGGGAAGTTGGGAGTACCTGTTTTCTGTAAACTGCCTCTTCGCTCTGTCCCCTCAGTAAACCAGCTTGCGGCTCACCGTTAGCACCAGAGAGCAGCCTCTTGCTCAGCCCGTCGGTGCCACCCTGTTTCATGTCAAACGAGAGAAGGGGCCTTGTTGGCCAGTGACTGTCCCCTGTTGGGAATGAGTGGGACCCTGGGGGTCCTGACCCCACCTTCCAGGCCCCTTGCCACACCCCCAGCAGTTCACCGGGCAGTTGCCCGAGGAGGCCCCGTGCTCGGAGTAGAGCTGGGAGGTGGGTTCTCTGCTCCCCTCGGGCCCCTGCCGCTGTGAGGACACCCCTGAAGGTCTGTCTGCCTTATGGGCCCTTTCAGCGTTTGTAAGCGGTGTATTCGGAAGATGGACCACCACTGTCCCTGGGTCAATAACTGTGTCGGCGAGAACAACCAGAAGTACTTCGTCCTGTTTACAGTAAGTCAGCTTCCCAGGCCTGCCCCACCCTCCATGGAGCAGCGGAGCGCTTCGGTCCTTCGAAAATTCTAGGAACTCGCAGTGTTTTGTGCTGCTGGTTCGGAGTCTTCCCTGGCTGTGTAGGCCTCTGCCTTTCCGCCAGAGTGCTCCTGGGCTCAACAAGTGCCTGTTCCTAAGCCCTCCACTTGAGCATCTAGCAAATTGGCTCAAGTCGATCAGCTCTAAGCAAGGGCTGTGTGCTGGGCTCCCACCTCAAGTGTCCAGTCTAAGTAGCTACAAAAGCCAGTTTTGGTGGTGACTGCAAGCCCTCCCTCAGCTGCAGGTAGGTAGAGATTTAGCAAGAGGCCTGGAAGAGCCCTTGGCAGTCAGCGCCCTGAGTTTTCAAGTGCAGGGAAGCCACCGGCCCAGAACACCCTGGCCCACCTAGAGCCCAGGTCATATCTGGCGACAGGCGCTTGTTCCTTCTTCCACACACTCTCACCTTGGTCCCAGAACCAGGGCGGGAGACCCCTAGGGGAATCCCCAGAGGCCTCGCTGGCTCTCTCCCAGTCAGCCCTCAGCCTAACTGAGTGTTCCAGAATGGGAGGTCCTGAGCATCCCTGTCCCAGGAGCCTGCACCGTCAGAAGGTTCTCACAACAATGGCATCTGCCCTGCTTTCCTGTTTCAGATGTACATAGCTCTCATTTCCTTGCACGCCCTCATCATGGTGGGATTCCACTTTCTGCACTGCTTTGAAGAAGACTGGACAAGTGAGTATGTGCCAGAACTCCACGTCCTGCTCCAAGGGGCAGTGTGCGACCCACGGGGGGCGGGCTCTTGGTTTGTGTCATGGTGCCAGTGGCCAACCCCATTTTATTAGATCTGCTGCAAGCCTACAGACTGACCAGGGGAGGGACAGCAGAGGCCCAAATCTCTCTTTATGAAAAAAAGCAGCCCCCTAAAAGTCCCACAGGTTAAAGTAGTGAGTTGGACAGACCCTCTAGCCTAAGCGTGCCCAGGGGAAATGCTGGCCCCGCAAGAAGCACGTCCCAGGGCACAGGAGCCTTGCCAGGGAGAGAACCTTTGTCTCCTTGTCTTTAGGAAGAGGCAATTTAGGGGCGCCTGGGTGGCTCACTTGGTTGAATGCGTCCGACTCTTGATCTCAGGGTCATGAGTTCAAGCCCCACGTTGGGCTCCACGCTGGGTGTGGCGCCTACTTAAAAAAAAAAAAGAAGAGGCACTTTAATCAAAAGTCATTTTATTCCAATCTCACAGAACTCCATTCTGAACTTTTGTTTTCTGTGGGTGTTTTTTAACTGCTTCCTCACCAAGCCACACTGAGATCGCAGAGCAGCTCCTTCCTGCTTTTGTGGAATCCATTTCACGCACAAATGCTGAGGAAGGAACTCCATCCAGGAGACCACACAGACCCTGAGGGAAAAAAATAGATGCTGGGAAAACAAACGCAGTTTTATGATTTTAAAGAAGAATAAAAATAAGAGAGAAGAGAAAAAAATTTTAATAGATGCTGGAGGAATTAAGAGAGGCCACGTGCTGAGCGAGATCTCACACACGCACACTCAGTCCGTGAGACAAACATCTTGAGCAGAAGCATCAGATGGGCCTCCTTTTCCATTGCACCATCTTTCAGAACTTCGCTCTTCCCGTACGTACTGTCTTCTTGGGCACCAGCTTGCTGTTCTTGTTCCCCAGAACTGGGGAGGCCATGGGAAGGATGGGATCTCTAGCTCCCAACCTGCCCCCTGCCCGGCCCGGCCTGGCGCCACCTAGGGGAGGAGAACCCCATGAGTCTCAGTCAGCTGGGGCTGCCATGACAAAACACCACAGAACCCCCTCCTGACCTCATGTAACCCTCATCACCTCCCAAAGGCCCCATCTCCAAATAACATCACATGGGGAGTGGGGCTCCCACCTGTGAATTTTGCGGGTGACACAGTTCAGTCGGTGTCACCGTGCCTCCCAGTTTTCGTGACTACTGCAGTTCTGGTACCAGCCAGACAGGGGGAAGGTCAAGCTGCAGAGCTGGGCGGGGCCCCAGCGCTTTCCTGGGTAAACGTTCTGCAAGTGCACACACTCTGCTAGGCCCTGGTGATCCAGTCCAACTCCAGATGTGGCCTTGGCAACTTGGCAGTGGAGTCTGACAAGGATGTTTTATCAACCCTGTCGCCCCCTGCCCCCCACCCGCTGCTGTCGGGTTGACAGACTCAGGCAGTGATGAGTGTGTCCCGGACCGTCTATGAGGCAGAAGGTCTCGTCTTCGGAGCACAGTTGACAGGGGCCGTGTCATTACCGCTGAGAGCCAGCTAGGGCGCACAGGACTTGGTGAGCAGCGCCTTACTTCAACCTTACGACAAGCCCGCAGGGCAGGAGAGAGGCTCCCACTTAGTGGGTGACAAAAGCTGGGGCTCACAGGGGTCTAGCCGGTCCCCAAGCTCACACGTCTAAGAGGAGGGCCGTGTTTCAAGCGCCAGTCTGGAGCAGGCTCTTCCAGCCCTGCCTCAATGACCCTGGGGCCCAGGGTCCTCCCTGAGGGTTCTTGGTTGTCTGCAGTCAAGATTCCTGATGGAAGAGGCTTGAGGCGGGGGTGCCTGTGGCCGCTAGGCTAGGACAGTCCCCAGAGTGGAAGCCTGAGATTGGCCCAGTGTGACAGCAACTACCATCACTGCTCAGCCGTGGCCGAGCTGTCTCACATCCAGCTTGTGTAAGAAGGGGAAAGGGGTGTCCCCAGAATGAGGGCGCTTTGAGTTGAGGTTTAACAAAGGCTAGAGTGGTAGTTGTACGTTTCCTGAGTCTTGATTCCTGTCTCCCCAACTCCATTCGTAGTCCCCGGGGGCCAGCCCAGGAGGGGAAGGGTCCGTGTAGCTGGGTGAGGATGGAGAGCAGGCCACGGCACCGGGCTCTGCCTCCTGCCCCGGCCCCGGGGCAGCCGAGGTGGGGAAGGAAGGGGCAAGGCACCTCCACCCAGGGGGCACCAGCCGTGTGTTTGTGCTGGGCCCGGGCCGACCAGTGTGGATGTTCTCATGCGCTCTCAGCCACGCCACCCAGCCGAAGGGAGAACTAGTGCTCAGAGAGCCCCAGCCGCGTGCCCACAGTCCTGTGTTATCGGGCACCGCTGCAGGGCTGGTTGTACAGCAGGGAGCCAGAGCCCCAGCCTCCCGGGGCTGCAGGTGTGGGCAAGGCAGACAGCAAGCAAGCACAGGAACAAACATGATTCCACGGGGTGCGGGACAGGGAAGATGCAGGGGCCGCAGATTATTAGTGGGGGCATCCTAGCAAGAGCTTATGGTGGGGAGTCGGCTCCAGGATCCTCACCCTGCTGTGTCTGCCTGACTGTGGAACCCTCGTTCTGCCCACCACCCCACCCAGTGGCCAGGCAGGCCGCTGCCACACCCAGAGCCCACTGAGGCCAGCCCACCCGGGCCCTGCCAGCAAGGAAGCCAGAGGGGAAAGTGTCTGCAAGCCTTGGGTTCCGAGGGAGCGTGAGGAGGTAGAGGCATTTGGGTGCGATGCGGCTCACCTCACCACCTGGACAGTGCTGTCTCCAGGCCCGCTGTGGTGAAGCTCCCGCGACAGAGGCGGCAGGGCGTCCCCAGATTCCCTGAGTTCCCAAAGCCCAGGGAAGCCCGGCCCGGCCCTCCCGGATCAGACCCCTCCAGCCAGGGCAGTAGGCCTGCACCCTGGGGCAACGAGAAATATGCACCACAAGCCGGGCCGTGACAGGCCCAGGCAGCCATCAGCGGGGGCAGGTGATTGGCCGGGATCAGATCCCTGTCTCCCAGTATCTTCCCCATTCCCTCAGCCCCCCCCCCATCTCCCACAGCACCTGGGCTTTTCTCTCCAGTTGGGGGTGCTTCTGATTTAGACTTGGTCCAGACAGAGGCTTCTGGTGCTGAAAACAGAACCACACATCTGGTCAAACCTTGCTACTCTACGAGGAGGGGGTGGAGGCCTGGGCCGGGACAAGGACTTATCTCGGGTCACACACCCCCGGCAGCCTGGGCTCAGAGAGAGGCCAGGCAGCTGTCCGGTTGGACTGACCGTCTCAGTGATGCAGACGCCCCGGAGGGGGGCGTTTCCCAGGGGGCTTGTTTCACCCCTAGCTCAGGGCCAAGCCCAGTAGCCATACTGCCCCCTCATAGACTTTGAATTCTAAAACCCCTGAGTGATCCTCTGGACCTGCCCTTTCCTGTCCCCCAGAAACAGACAGAGGTGCAGGAATGTCCAGCCTGTGTTGTGCTGTCTTAGGGGAGGAGGTTCCCCCTGGCTTCGTCTTCATGCCTCAGCCCTGAGGCTTTTCTGGGTCCTTCCATGTGCCAGGCACTGTGCACAGCAGCAGGATACAGACACTGGCCAGGAAAAGAGCAGCAGTTAAGAGGTGTTAGGGGGGGAAGCCCCAGGAGGGGCCTGGCCTGTGGAGAAGGGCTTCCCTGAGGGAGTGCTGGTGCAGCCAGATGTGAGGCAGGATGGTGCCCGCCGAGGCCTGGAGGCCAGGGACACCTGGCACCCAGGAGGAACCAGGTCCTGCGGGGCTGGAGGCAGGGCAGGAGCCCTGGGGACATCAAGTGGTGCGTAGCGGGCAGTGGGTAGCAGCCCCAAGTCCCACACGACCCTTGTCTTTCAGAGTGCAGTTCCTTCTCACCACCTACCACAGTGATCCTTCTCATCCTGCTGTGCTTTGAGGGGCTGCTCTTTCTCATTTTCACATCTGTGATGTTTGGGACCCAGGTGCACTCCATCTGCACAGATGAAACGGTAAGCGGGCAGCCTGCCCCCTCACCTCCGCTCCTGGGCTTGGGGGAGGACCCAGGGCAGGTGCTGCTGGGAGGGCTGCATGCAGGCCAGACCTGGGAGCCCAGTGACCAAGGCCCAGGTGCGAGGTGTGCAGACCACATCCCTCCATTTGCAGTGACACTGGATCTTACACACACACACACACACACACACACACACACACACACACACACACA